TCCCAGTCCACCACAGATTCGTTTTGTTTAACAAATTCTACACACAGATATAAAAAATACAAACAACTATATACACCATGAAATTACCTCTTGAATCCCGTTTTCCTCCAAGTCATCTCCACGGAGTAACGACTGACATGTAATCAGTACGAATGTTACAATACAGCATTAGACATTACACCTTAGGTAACCGATTTTCATCTACGCTTAACATTTCATATATGAAGAACAACAAACACAGCTGATACCTTAATGTCTAGCTTCATATAAAGAGATGGAGCTTCCTCCCATCGGCTAGCCATCTCATGAATTTCGTTTTGAGTGAAACCGTGAACATTCCTTGCAGCACAGCCCTGAGACCCACAAGAAAGAGGAAATATATTGAATGATATCCCTAGCTCACGTTAGTTTCCCCTCTTGTTGGTTTTGAAATTCAAAACCATATAATCTCTGTCTGAGTTAAAGTTAAGACTAACCAATTAAGTTATACAATATATAATTTGTTTCCGTATGCGGTGAGAATCGGGCATACGGTAATGCTCTTCTAAATATTAAATACATAGAGAGACAGGCCAAATACTCCAGTTTGCATGCAAAAGTATAACGGAAAGGATAAACAAAATGCCTCAAATAAACTCACAGCTGGGTCCTTGTATTCAGCTTCTAGTAGATAAACTTCATATCCCGACCTCTGCAACATAACAAATTTAAGATGAGTTAAGCATGACTCAACTATGAACAATAATGTCAGACTAAATAACCATGATTTTCTAGGGAACATATGCAGCTATATTAAATCAGGAAGGCTTTTGCATGTGATTATTTACATATAATCATATATTCATCCACATTCGGAAAAATTAAACATGTAATATGCATCGCTTTCGCGACGAATGATAAGAATGAGAATGACTCTTGACATGATGATGGGGAGAAGAAGACGTAACACTATAGTTGGAAGCCTGGAACATACATAAAAGTATCAAGTACAAGACCCCAAAATGAAAAAATCTATCTAATTTATATACGAATTCAGATATCACCCAAAAATTAGAAGCACGTATAAATATCAGATGTTCCGTACTCAAACTACAGTAAAAAACAGTTCATAAGAATGACAAAAATTTAAAGATAGAAGAAACAAAAGGATCTAATCGCATTGGACAACAAAATGCCAAAATCCCAAAAGGATTTTCCAATATTTCAAAACAAACCAAGAAGAGCCATATATCAAACTCCTACAGCACTAGTTCCAACGAAATTAGATTTCAGAATATGTTATCAACCATTACCAGGAGGCCATGAAGACGCCAAAAGTGAAATCAGGGCACAACAGACCATTATTACAAGCACTTAATTATGAAAACAACAGTGTTCCCGAAAATTCATGCCATCAGCTCATATAAAGATACTTCTTGTATCCGAAGCCGTGACAATGCCAACATCAAATGAGATCCAAGAAAACAAATAGGGCTAATCTACGCAAGATTAACTGTAATAATCGTGAAAGATACATATAATTTTTGGTTTTTTTTTTTTTTTTCATGTGCAAAATCCTTACAAGTTATGATATACTAAACCAATATTCAATATTAAGACAAGCTAAACTACATATAAATAATCCATTGAATGTAAATTGGTCACTGCAACCCACTCAAATATTATAGGAATCAACCACTGTATATCAAACACAAAGTCAACACTCAAACATTGCAAAAAGAAGTTGAAGGGAACAGAATATACTTTATTTCATTAGAACACAAATGCGACTTCACTGAACTACTAAAGAATTATATAAAATAAAAAATGAGTAGACAAATTTGCCAAAACCTAAAGCCCTGAACCACTTATTAAAAAAGATGACAAATTGGCATACTTTGATCTATTAACTTTATGAGCTGTGAATGCCATAAGGAAAATATGACAGTGGTTCACCAAAGAACATCGTCATCAAGAAATATATCAAATCAATTCTGTTCATAATGTTCTACAAAGAAAGAACGATGGCTGATAATACTTATCCAATAATCGACTACAGAACATTGAGCTCAATTCTGTTAAGTAACTTACAACCCTTCCCAAACTAATGCCAGTTCGAAATCTATCAGACTTGAAGTGGAAAAGAGGACTATGCAAGCTTATACTTGAAACAAAACTTTCTATTCATAAACCTCATCTGCGAAGTGCTAATGAAAGCATGAGAGTGACTGGGAGTCATGGTTTTTTATAGTGACTGGGAGTCATGGTTTTTTTATAACTCTTAAGTTTTAATCTGTATAACTTTTGGCTACTCTAAAAAGATAGAGAGGTCTCCGAGAAGTTGATCAAATTTCAAATACAATTAGACAAGTATAAACAGGTTACCCTCGTCTTTTGTAATTCTAGTATGTGAAAAAGAATAAAAATAAATAAATAAATAAAGACTACAGGACATAGACGACTAAAGTATCCCCAGAAAGGAAAACATGCACACCGATAGGCCGCATTAAGAAAGAATTGAGAGTATACCTTTGCAGTTGCCCAAAACTGAGTAAAATCAGCTACCCGCAGATTGCGGTCATCCACTAAGACGAGTGACAAATACCAAGAAGAAATGGGTCAATTGCCGAATAAACTGCATCTGTAATTAGTCAACTCCAGCCAGTGCAAAGCCCCGCATTACCACTTAATTTAAATTACAGCTACATTTTTCAACTACTTTGTGTGCTTAGGTGCTAAAATTATCAGAGAATTTTATTTTTATCTCTACAAAGAAGTGGAAATAAATTTTGAAGTGAAAAATAATTCACTGTCCACACATGCATAAGCTAAGCTAGTCCAGCTAGCAAGTAGCAATACAAGAAAGATAAGCATGACTTCTGTTATAAACAGAGAAGTACCATTGACGGTCAATAAAACAATGAAAAGCAAAGAAAGAAATGGGAACGAAAAAATTTTACATCATTGCATCACGAACACACTAACCAATGATGCTAATTACACAACCAATGCTTTAGCAAATATATATTTGAAACACAAGATGAGCTTTAAAAATTGTGAAAATGATAAAAATGACATAATGAATCTAAATTGTGCTTCGTCCACACAAAGATCATACCAATCACAAGAGGAAACACCCCTTCAACAAGGGTCTTCTGAAATGCCTTCAACATGCTTGACCTGTATGCCTGTAAACATAAACAGTGTTAGAAAGAAAACACACACACACACACAGAGAAGAGGGAGATGAATATGAATGTACACAGACATAGGCAGAGCGGACGGACACGATATATGCATCCGAGTGAGATTTTAGTTTAATAGCAGGAATGTCACTGCAAGCTGACCTTAAATGCAGCCTACCGGTAGACCAACCGACTTTTTAAAATCTACTGTAAATGGTAATGCTCATTTTCAAATAGTTAATTTCATTATCCTAGTCAGAGTTTGTATTTTCTCTTTAATGGCCAGTTTCCTTCATGAACTGTGTAGGATGAAGGTCACAGTTGAAGTGGAACAAAAATCACTTCCCAATATGCGACAGGCAAAATGTAAATTGCTCAGTACACAATAGCTCCTCAATTCAAACAACAGAGCTTGCGAATATTTTAAAAAATCAATGCTTCATAGACAAACTTTATTTAGCAGTATGCTGCATAAGGAGAAAGGGACATCTCTCGTCTTTCTTGCATCTATATCATAAGCTTAACAGCTAAATATGCAACATCAATATCATAACTAAGTACAATAAGAAGAAAACAAAGTAGAGAGGAAAGGAACCTCTTCCATCTCAGGTTCGTAACAGTACTCCATAACCTTCTTTGTAACTGTTTTTTTCCCTCTCACCGAACCAGAAGATCTCGACCCTTCACTCTCCTCAACCTGTAAGTTAGATAACGGGAATGACTGATTATGGTTTGTGTGTGGCACCCACTAACGGATAAGGCAAGTCATTTATGTGCATAATGCTACATGAACAGTGAACAATAAATAAAAACATAGTATCGAAGACCAAATGAGCGAACTTCTTTTGTCATGATGACACAAACATAAAATCACCTTTTCAACCTCAGTCATAAAATATTCATCCATGGAATAGACCCGCGGAACCGTGCCACCATTTTCAACCTCAAGATCACGCAAAAACTTTGCCAAGTAGCTCTTACCACTCCCTGAACATATGCACATAGAATTAGCACATGGTTACAACAAAACAACATCATAATATTTGAAA